CTCCGAATAAACATGCCTTATTTCTGATGGATTTAAATTCTTTAACTCTACGGATTGAAATTCCAATAGCGGCATTCCAGAAAATATGGTTCGAATAGCTTAGGCAAGAGAGCAGTTAACAGTTTGGACGCCTTAAGGTTAATATTATTTTTTGCGTATTTTGCAATGCCTCGAAAACTTTATAAATTAATCGTAAACTTAGAGCCGGTTAAACATTTTAGCCAAAAAAAATTCTATGTGAAATTAAATTTTCATTTATAATTTTANTTGATCCTTAAATAAATGCATCGAAATATACATATATGTATATTGTCATCAAATGACTTGGCCTTTAAAACAAAACATTGTTTTCCTTGTAATCTTGTAATTTCTTACGCAGAATTATATGAGACCTTTTAAATGCAAACTCTGATCATAATTTTCAGTAAGTTGATAAGTTGAAATTAAACTTGTCTATATAGTAAGCAATAGTGTTCTTACACGATGTGTATCTCATTAAAAAAACGTGGTATATTATACATTAACGTGCATTTGATTCTGGACTATCAAAGAAATTTCTGTAAAATTCGGAGAGTTGGCCATTAATCTGTACATCAAGCTCTCTTGTTATACAAAAAAGACGAGTTCCGTATTTGTTACCAACTTCAACGAAACTACTAGTGTTGAGAGTTAATTTAGTTCAATAGCTTTATAAAGCTTTGCTTTGGTGGTTACAGCATCAGACTACGGATATAAACGGTCCGGGTTTGAACGCAGTTAACATCAAAGAACATCTCGCTCGATCTCTCTTAACACTTTTGAACATATAATTTTCTAACTACTCGACAGGTGGCGGCATTACTCTTTTTCACATCGTTTGCAAATTGGCTGAGTCTTAAAGAATGAAGATCTGAGGATAATTTTTATAAAGTTTATTTATGGTCAGTGTCTAAGTATTTTTCCAGAAGAAATTTATGAGCAGACCGATATATTTTTTAGTGACGATAGTTTTAAGGGTATACTTTTATTTTACGGTCAGCGACTGGAAGTCTTTACCGGTCATTGAATGTAATCTAGCTGTTAAATATTTTAGAAATGCTTTTTCCCTTCAATTTTTGCCTGAAGAATACTCTCGTATGAATGAAGAATTGCATAATATAATAACTGCATAATTTACAGCACACAACAGAGTTTTGCCTTAAACCTTACTTTGATCACTGAGAACTATCAAACAAACCATACTTTAACGAATAGGGACTTGTTCCTCTGCCTCTTTTGGTTAAACCACTTTACACGAGTTTGTCTACCTTCATTTGATGTTTGGACACTGAGAAAGGTTCTTGTTTATAGAATTGAAACTATAGTATGTCTCTTTATGTACTTTCATTTGTACCTTATTCACGTTGTTTTTGGCTTTAATCCCTGAAAACCCTTTTGAGAAGTGATTAACCTTGCTCACACTTGGGACATAATATTGGTAAGTTTATATAAAATTTCTGATATAATGTTATTCAATTTGCATTCAATTTAATCATGAAATATTTACATTTATGAAAATCTATGTAAGCTATAAGTTAACATCTACCGACATTTAAAATTATATGAATATTCATTTGTAAATGTACAAATACGTGGACATGGTTGAACTAAATCACTAGTTTAACTGTTGCTAAATCTATATTACATGAGTAAATAAAATTACTACAACAGGGTATCCTAAAATGAAAGCTTAGGGTTAGCGGGTTCGAATCTCACAATAACAGCGCATGCATATTTTTTGTATTCATCTCTAACTTGTTTATCTGTTCTTTAAGTTGTCAAAGGCTCATATTTTGTCTTGAGTATTTTGTCTTGAGTTCACAAACCTGCAAATGTATGTGTAACAATAAATTTTAAAAAAATGTCTCTTCGAATAACAATGATTTTTTTAAAATTTATTATTACACCAGCCTCGTCTTTCGTGCTAAACGCTAATTAAGATGAACATAATGGGTTCGAATCAAAGCGTCACTTTGAAGGCATTATAGCAAATAAATAAAACGCGTTTAGATACATATACAGGGTCGAATATTTAATGCAAATAAATATCTCTTGACAAATTGCAGAACAGATAGTCCCGCAGTGGACTGATCGTTAAGACATGGATCCCAGCAGATTACCGAAGTCAAGCATAAGTGTGCGGTCAGTGTGCGGGTGGGTGACCGCTTGGATTAGTCTGCGTAGGGACCAAGGGTATGTGGTATTGGTCTACGTTAAACTGTTCTACAGTAAAGTGCTGAACTTCGCGTGCAGGTCTTCGCGTTACCGAACGGGGGGCTGCCATCCCATCTGCAGAGGATCAAAATTGTGACGGCATGTCTTCGGATCATCCTCAGGGATGTTTCCCAGACCATCGCCTACAGCTCATTGTGCAGCTCTAATAAGTACGACATTGTGCAATATTGGGACATACATTGTGCAGTACGACGTAAATAAACTGCAGCAACAGAACAAATAGCTTAAACATGAGAAATACAGCACAAAGGTATTGAACCCACTATCTCTACGCTTCTAAGCATTTGACAGAAGCACAACACCCAACGGCAATGGAGACCACAGAAATATATGTGCAGATTCATCATGATAATCCACTAACAGCTCTAAAGCGTATATGTAGTTTGTTTGAATCCCGCTCTAGCATTCGATGTATATTTTTGATGTCTTTCGTGAAATTGTTATGTCTGTTTTTCAAGCTGAAAAGAGTTTTTTAGCCGTTCTTTATATTTACAAAAAAGCTCACATCTCAAAACTCCTTAAATTTAGATTTAAATGCAACATTCCTTTAACCCTTGTTATAATTGGGAAACTACATTAGAGTAAGAAATAACCAACAGTCATCTCTCCTGTCAACCCTTTAAATAAACTGCCATTTTAAATGAAACATAGAAGATTAAACATATTATTTCCCTTCGATTTCGTAAAAGGTAAATAGATCAAAAGATTAAAATTTTAAAATAAATTATAAAGGTAGGTATGCACTTTGCGTAACACTAGAGCTGCACAATGGGCTATTGGCGACGGTATGGGAAACATCCCTGAGGATGATCCAAAGACATGCCATCGTAATTTTGATCCTCTTCAGAGGGGGTGGCTCCTCTGCTTTGGTAGCCCGACGACCTGCGCGCGATGTCGAGCACTTACTTCACTGTAGAACAGTTTAATTACACGCACCCTTGGTCCAAACGCAGGATGATCAAAGTGGTCACCCACCCGCTTACTGACCTCAGCTAGTGATGCTTAACTTCGGAGTTCGACTGGGAAACGAGTCCTTACGATCAGTCCACAATAAATTATAAAATGTTTGATAGTTCTGAAGGTTATTTTGGTAGTTTAATCGAGATACTTTAGAACATGGAATATTTAGAAAATGGAATATTTGGTTAAATTTGTATTTGTTGCTAAATATTTGCTAATAAGAAGTATCATTTTGAGAAACAGAATTTCCGGTAATCCGTAATTTTGGTTTAATTTTCAGAATTGAGGTTTCTCTTCTTCAGAAAGTTCTTTGCCATACAAATATGGTGATTTCGTAAAATTCGCTTTTCTGTGTAATTGATAGCCACCTCCTTGTTCATTGGTCACAACATGGGAGCATTGGGGGGGGGGNGGGGGGGGGGGGTAAGTTTAATTGAACTCTCTTATTACTTACTTTCAATTTCGTTGATATTGACTTTATTGCAATGGAATTATTTAGTTATATTTATATATCGGATCATTCTGGAATGCAAAGTGGGTGATGATCTTCTAGCGCATTTGGTGTAGGTGGATTTGGAAATCTAACTGTCCTTTATTTGTAAAACATAAACTCCCATCGAGAGCAGTTGCCTTTAGGAACTAGAGTTGCGTTAGAACCTCATTCCATTTGCAACAAACCTAAATTGTGACACCGTTTGTGTTGGCTGGCAATTGTTCCGATTCTTCAATTTTATTAAAAAATGTGCGAAATAATGAATTCACGGAGTAATTAGAGACAATCTACCACAGAAACAACCTCTCAAGAATCTGTAGAAATTAAAAAAGAAAACCGTGGAACATTAGACGAAATATCCGCGTAAGAAATATGTGTTGTAAAATGAAATAACAGGTACGTGGTGTGATTGGCTTTAAATTTTGAAAACGGATAAGCTCTCGAAAAAAAAATGATACCATACAAGAGGAAAAAATTGAAATTGTTCTACTCAAGTAAGTTTTTATATTTGTTAATGTTTTCTTATATTTGTTAATTTCATACTTAATTTATGACGCGAATTTGCACAAATTGCCTAATTATAAGGAAATAGTAGGAGTTTTTAATCCACAGTTGAAGAATCGAAGGAATTGGTCGAAAAATGTTAACTACCATTTAGGGCCGAAGCTCCCGTTTCGAAAACAAGCTATAAAAACAAAAAATAATTACAATCTTAGTAAAAAATTTGCTATTCTTCTTTACAGGAACATTATTAAATGCAATAATTCTGAAAAATTTCCGAAAAAGTAAATAAATTCCTTTGATATAACCACACCTAATGCGTAAATTACCATATATTAGACATGGCTTTCGAACTATTAAGGACCCGCAGTGGACTGATCGTTAAGACACGGTTCCCAACAGATCACCGAAGTCAAGCATCACTGGCTTCGGTCAGTGTGCGGGTGGGTGACAGATTGGATCAGTACCATTAAGAACCATTAAGATTAAGTTTTAAAATGTGAAAATCGAATTATTAGATCAAAAAAATTAAGATATTTCACACTTTTTGAGCACTACACTTGTTAGAATAAAAGCAATTTAATAGATCCATAATTTTATACAGAAATGGCTGTAAGTGGCTTTAAAAGTAACAACTGTATTTTATTTTGAATGATTTTCATGGGAGATTAGAAAGAAAAGGAGATGTGTTAAAATTACTGAGCGGTAGTTTAAATGCTATCAAAATTCATTTTTAAGTGTGTATTTTTGTTAAAATTCCATTGGTGAGCAATACAATAAACACAACGGCAAATATTATTAATTAGTTTATTAGTGCAAAAGTAGAATATTCAGAGTGCAGTGTAAACATGATTTGCTAACCACCTTAAAAGGCTTACATAAAATTCAAACAAGTATATAAAATTGAAACTGTTCTCACTAATGTTGTTAATTTGATACACTTTGATGAGTATTGTCAACATTTTTAAGCTAAATTAGAACCGCAATAACAGATCCAGTCTTCTGCGAATCTGCAAACATTTTTCCTGGCTCGTTTGTTCCAACGCAAAAAATTTTCATCCAAAAGCAGCTTATCTAAAAGTGGAAGAAGAAAACACATGTCTTATACAAATCTGCAACAGTACAACATATTCCTTGTACTATCTAAATTCTCAACTGATTCGCGACTTTGGTATATGCATGCTCAATAGTAGCGTAGTCGAGGTGTTGTGATTGTATTTTAGAACTTGATCCGACTACTGGTTCAAACGCTATAGCCTATCCCCAGGTCTTACGCGGTAATGCATTTGAAAAATTATGATTGAGGTAAATTTGGAATACCAGGAATGGAATAACATTACATACTTTCAGGGAATTGAACTTTTATTTTTCTTTTAATCTTATATTGCAAAAATCGAAAAATACGGTAAAAATCGAAAAATAATAAAAAGTAAGAGCGCAAAAATAATTTCGGTGCTAAATGTCAATTTGATTTATAGACGACTAAGTAAATACTGAAACTGTTATTTAAAATCATTAGTAATTATGGTATTGATAGATTAAAAAAAAGATTAATTTTAATTACCAGAAATACTATTTAGTGATTTCTTTTATCCAACTTGCATCCTGAAAAAACCGATTTAGGTAGGAAATTTGTGTATTTTATGAAGTTTATTCATGTAATGGAAATATTTCTTTTCAAAATAAAATGAACGATTTCGCATTAAATAGAGCCGCAAGCCATTTTTCAAAATTACCCATCATGCTGAGATTGGTTTTTAAAATTATTTGTCGGAGTTTAACAGTGCTTTTACTTTTTAACCTGCGCCACCGCATGCTCGCTTCAATTGCAAAACTCTTGAGTTATACTCTTTTCAGCTTTGATGCTGATTCTTGAAAATAAAAAAGTATTATTTTATTTATAAAATACATATTGTAGTTTTAATCAAAAATTATTTTTGAATATGTTAATCTTAACAAAAGGAACGATAACTCTAAAAAGTAATCAAATGCAATGTGCTTGAAAAAAATCGCGATAATCTTATATTGTAAAACACATAGAATCACAAATGGTTTTTATCTTTCTGGAGATATGTATATTTTTAAAAATTTTGATACAAATGTTATGATTTATGTATGGCAACATATAATCTTTTCCTCTTATTTCTTTAAATTTGTTTATCCATTTTTTGCTACTTTTGACATCAAGTCATAAGCAAGCTAATAAAATGATCTCACAAGTGGAAAAACTTTTCCAGAAAATTGGTAAATAATTATTATTTAAAGCGAAAAATTGAAAGAATTTTGATAACTTTCGAACAGATCGGAATTTTGAAAAAATCATGTTAAGTTTATAATTGAAAATCCCTCTTATCACGTCAAATTTTAATTCTGTAGCATTTCAGCGGGCAGTAGAATGGCTAACTTATTTTTTTTTCTTCATCTTCAAGTATGAAAATTTGTAATTCTCGAACTAATAATCAGATCTTAATTTCTTTAGTACTTGTGCATTTTTCTACACAAATTCATAATTTTAATTTTTTAAGTTTTAAAAATTTTGCGTAGAAAGATCGAAAAAATCGCCAAAAAAGGGAACTTAAATTTCAGCAACTTTAGAACAAATTGGAATTGAAAAAAGAATACTAGAATAAAAATTCCTAAATAAACATGGTTTATTCAGCCAACATTGTCAAATTATGACCAATTTTGTCAAATTTTTACTGTTGCGCTGTCTTTCCGCCGATTATAGAGTGACCGGCACAAGGTTTTTTTCTATACGATTAACAGTTAATAATTTCAGAATTTATTATTGAATGATAATTGTTTTGATCCATTGAGCTAAAAAAACGAATTAAAATAATTATTATTCGATAAATAGTTCAAAAATTACTAACTGTTAAACTTGTAGATACTATGCGGGTTATTTTATAGGCCGTAGGTTCAAACTTTAACTGCGAAGTTGAAATTTGACATGCTGAAAGGGCCTTGTTTATTTTTTAACTATATCCGAGCATGTTGGACTCATTCAAAAATTTGTTCAAAAGTTTTCGAAAATTTAAGTGCTTTTCTGTGATTTTTTCCAGGTTCATATCCCAGCGGTGGCAGGTTGATACGATTTCAGCTACCGGTTCGCACCAACCACAGTGCTGACGTAAAATACCCTCTGCGGTAGACGGTATATGGGATATAACCCATCACCATCTAGCTAATCATGAAGTTTTGCGTGGCTTACCTCCCCATGTAACGCTAATGCTGGCTAATCCCATCAAAACGTTTTCCATGAAGTTTATTCCAATGTTTGATCAAGAAGTTCTATTGTCTTTTTGGTTGGGATCAAAATTACAAGCCTACTAAATTGAACATTAATAACCGTAAACTCAAAATTAGGCCACCTGCTTAACTCCGGTTATAAAATAAAATAAAATCCATTGAATTTCGTGTTATTTTGTTTACTCATCGCTTTAATTTTAATCTTCTAAGTTGACAACAACTAGAAGTTAACGCAACAAATCGATAAGTTGAAGTAACGTAAACGTAACATAACGTTAAGTTGAAGTAACGTAAACGTAACGTAGCGTTAAGTTGAAGAAAAAGTAACGTTAAATTTAACATCAAAACCAGCAATGATGAGCCATACGATTTTTTAATAGAGTGGCAACAGTAAATCTTTTACGACTTTACAATTTAATTTTACAATAAAAGCGATTATTCAACTACACGCTCTCATTAAATTATTTTTATATGATATATTACGTGATTATTTCCATGAATTATTGAAATATTTAGTTGTACATATTTTAGGAATAAATACTTTTCAACTAGTTTCGTGAAACTCAACTTCCGAATATTGTAATTCTTAAAAACCCAAACTTTACAATTTAATTTTACAATAAAAGCGATTATTCAACTACACGTTCTCATTAAATTATTTTTATATGATATATTACGTGATTATTTCCATGAATTATTGAAATATTTAGTTGTACATATTTTAGGAATAAATGCTTTTCAACTAGTTTTGTGAAACTCAACTTCTCAATATTGTAATTTTTAAAAAACCCAAACTCCTTTTGTAACTCACTTTGTTAATGGAGAAAATTGAGAAAATGTTTCACCCTTACGCGCTATTTCCCGATCTAATAGCATAAAGAAACCGGTTTTGCCATGCAGAGAAAACTGCAGGTTAAAATACAACATTTTACGTGCAGTGCATTCAATAGGTTAAAATATGGATGAAATCACTTTAATTTAAATTTATTCTTTTTAAAGTAGATTTCGTGGCAAGATTCTTCAAACGGAGTTTTAAAATTCTCTTCAATAGATTTTCATAGCCTTTATGAAATGAGTGGAATTTCTAATTAGAAATGAACCTATTGAGAATATTTCTTGATCGTAGCCGAAAGGTGATAATTACATTTCCGAACAATCCTTTAATTCTGGCTGAAATGTCACCCTCATTCATTAAAAGTAAAACCAGTACTAGTACAACCAGCTTTGCAGTCTAGCGTTGGTGTAATGAATCCTATAATGAAGTATTACCTAGAGATAGTTTCCAAGGAAACGGGGAAATGAGATGGTAAAGCAAATGTTGTTCAACAAAGGGACTATTTAATTGGCCTCAATATTACACAGAATATGATTGATGAAATGACGGATCACTGCTTGGCCTATCGATGTCATCATGAGAAGTATGTTCATGAAGTAAGATGTTGATAAGAGCACTGAGATTTCTAGAAACTCGATAAAGCTTGTTTAAAAGAATTAACCATTATTCAAATTACACAAATTGAATGGCGCTTAACATTATTCGTAAAATATTTTAATCCCTATTCTATTGTTACCAACAGAAAATGCTTTTTTTTAATTCATAAAAAGATTTAATCATTATCCATTTTATAAAAATAGCATAATGCTTGTTATAATTCATAAAAAGACCTAACTATTAGTGTATTTATAGACATATTATAATGTTTGTTATAATTCATAAAAAATAACCACAATTCAAATTATACAAATTAGATAGTGCTTAATACTATTCATAAAATGACTTAACTATTATTAAATTGATACAAATAGAACAATGCTTTTTATAATTCTCAAAAACTTGTAACCATTATACACTGTTTAAAAATAGAGTAATGATTTGATATTTTAATGATTTTTATAATTTATTAACCTCTATTCAATTTATACAAATAGCACAATGCTTGATATAATTCATCAAAAAACTTTACCCTTATTCAAATTTTTCAAATTGAATAGCGCATGTTGATTGATACCAATTTTTGTGAGCTCGGAACATGTTGACTGTAACCATCTGCTTAAGTTTTTGAAGCAAATAAGGTCTTTATATTTTCTTTGTGGTAAAGTTTCTTGGATAATTAATTTAGTATAATACTTGTTATAATGCATAAAAACCTGATCAACTACTCAATTTATGCGAATAGTATAATGCTTTTTACAATTCATGAGAAGACTTAATCATTATTCAAATTGCACAAATGGAACAAAATCTGTCATAATTCACGAAAAAAACTAACCATTATTTGAATAACGTAAATTGAATTCTAGTTGGCTGGAAATAGTTGCTGAAACAAGTACTGAGATTATAACTCAAAAATACAAACTCAATAAGATCAAAATAAAGCTAACATCTATCCAATTTGCACAAAAGTGGATTAGTCTTATTGCTTTTCCTAAAAAGAATCATTTAATACAAATATTACAATGCTTTTTATTATTCATTCAAATACTTAAACATTACTCATTCTGGGTCACCTCATTAAAAGACAAACTCTCTATCCCCTGAGCTACCGCGGTTCGATGCCAAAGTATTTTTTTAATATTTCGTTTTATAACCGGCTTTAATCAGCTGACTAAATTCCGGATCTACAGCTATCATATGTTGAATAACTTATCCTTTTAATTTTGAACCCAACCCAGAAGACATAGGAGTTCCTGGATCGAGCATTAGGACAAACTAGCCTTTGCAAAGGAAGTTTAGATGTAACTAACCCGTATTTGCGTTACAGTGGGAGGAAAGTAACAAAAACCTCCCATTTTTAGCTCGATGGCAAGGGGAAACTATTGGTACGAAGTAGATAATTTATCGAATTCTCGATGGAGGACGTGTCTATAGTGTTTCCTTAATCCAAAATTTAAAGCACTCGATATAACCAATGTTGCATTAGAAATTTATGTGGAAAATGCTTCAGAAGGATGTTGAAAACAACTGTAACTCATCTGGATAAAAAGTCAAAGGAAACCTACCAAATCCTGAATTATTCAATGAGCAAAGAAATGGCAATAAAGCATGAAAATAAAATTACTATAGTAATTTGGTCTGTTTTTTACAGTAATCGATCAAAATACTTTCTATGGTTGAATATCACGATTTTGAAGGGAATAATTCTAAAACTAATATTACCAAGTTTTTAAATTTAGAATAAGAATAAAGTTTTATTGAAAATATTAAACAATGATTAAATGTAAGATCTTTAAAAATGAATAGGCTTTTATATGCAAATTACATTGAAATTATAAATGGCAATAGAAATATTTATATACATTTATAAAAATCTTTTCATATCTGTGAAACATTCACATATTATCAATATTTATTTTCTGAAATTGATTAAAATAAAATAAAATAAAATAATTGTAATCTCTTTATATAGTCGAATCGATTTAATTTACATAACAGTTTTTATATGAAGAAAATCTCAGTTTGTTAAAATAGTTCAGCGACTCCAAAATGTGAATAAAAAGCGTAATATTATCCGAACTCGTTTTATAATTTTAGAAATTTAATAATTGCACTTTATGGGTGGTTCAACGGCTTTTCATTCAGAAAGGATTTTTTTTAATCATCTTCAAAAATCAAAGAGTAGACTTCGCTTTTATTGGAATTTAATAGCTATAGGCTCTTTCTTAAGAAATGAAGAAAAAAATGAAAAGTAGATGAATGTTCAGAAGATTAATCGATACAAAATAATTGGAGGAAATTTTGAAGGAGATTTAATCTTCTATTTTTGTTCCCTTAAGGCCGAATAATGATTAAAGTAATTTTAGGAGTAATTTAATTTTTGCATGGAGAGGACTTTCCGCTGTGCAAAGCGTAAAATATTTAATATTTTCAATTTATGATAGCTTGTTGTATTTGAAATTGAACTAAATTTCTTTGTGCAGATATTTTTAAATGATTTTAATTACAAAAAATAGTTTCTATTTCACTATTTTTAAATTTTTTTTTTATATAAAATTTGTGCTTGTAATATAACAAGGTCATTCATAGGCACCATTTTTAAACTATTTAAAATATTAAAACTGTTTAAAATATTAAAACTGTTTAAAATATTAAAACTGTTTAAAATATTAAAGCCGTTTAAAATATTAAAACTGCTTAAAATATTAAAACTGTTTAAAGTATTAAAACTTTTTCTAAATGGAAAAGTATTATTATATGCTGATCGGCCTGTGTAGGGGGCAGGGAATTGTCTTTGCATCAGAAAGGTTCTGGGTTCTAATCCCGGGCAAGGCGTGGATGTTCTTTCTCTCTCTGTACTATCTGTCCTCACTGTGGGAGCGACGTTGGCCCACCTAATATGGTGCCCGTGAAAGAGAGGCCAACAAAATCGCCCTGCATATGCCTGAAATGACGGATGTTAACACAGGTGGGCATTAGAGAAAAAAAAAGTATTATTATATGGATAGAGATTTTTTTTAAAGAAAAGAATTTTACTTGTCACCAAAATACAAACGCACGGAATTCCTATACTGATATTTTAAACTATCATAACAGCAACATAAATATATTATTTGTTCACATTTAATCCCTTTTATGTATGTGTTAGTTTCTTCTGTACTCGTGCAGTTTCGTTTTTTTTTTTTTAATTTTTTTTTATTAAATTTTATAACCATCGTCGCACAGCCGACCCAATTTTTCGGGTTTACGACAACTAATGTTCAACTCCGTAGCATTGTAATTTTGAACCCAATCCAGAGACAAGGGAACTCCTGGATCGAGTATTGGGAGAAATTTGCCTTACATGGAGTACTTTTTTGATGGAACTAACCAGCATTTGCGTTACATGGACAGGGAGATCACGAGAACCTCCCACGGTTAGCCTGACCGTAAGGGGACTCTAACCCATGATCCATCTACCACCGAGGATATTTCACGCCAGCACTGTTGTCGATGTAAGCCGAATGCGGAATTCGTATCGACTGGGATTCGAACCCGGTTCGCCTCGCTGGAGGGGAAAGCTCTATCCCCTGAGCCATCACGGCCCAGATTCGTAGTTTGTACAAAATGCTCAGTTTGTCAAATGTATAAACATGGTGTTAAAAAAATTTCCGTATTATTTCCTTAAATGTAAGTATTTTAGCACTATAATGTGTACTGTGACGAGAACATTGACAAGTCTAATGAGAATTTCAGTCCTCGCAACTGAAAAAGAGCTTACACTCCGTTTTAATTTTTGATAAAATTTACTGTACAGTAAAAAAAGAAAAATGGTGTACAGTTTTCCATTTTTAACGTTGAAGTAAATTAAAGTTTTAACAGTGCATGTACTCAAATTTTTTAACTAAATTTCCACTCTTATAATTTTGTTCTTTTAACTATTCATTTTTTGTTTGTTTGTTTACTGACAACACATATTTTCATTCGCGTTAGAACCCAATTAATGGTTCCATTTGAAAAATATTTTCGTTTAGAAAAGGAGTACATTTTTAGCAATATAATCGCACTAATTCCTTCAAACAATTGTTATTTTGACAATTTTATATAATTCTTTGCATGATAGCTACAGTTTTGCACCTGAAATAGCATTATTTTACCTCAATATCGAAAATGGTGGCAACTTTACATTAAAAGGTTTTACACAGTGCGGATAGGCATGTTTCCGCATTTATGCTAGAATCCAATAGAGGATAAAATTTAGTTCATTTTTCTGAACTGTACTTTTGCCAAATTTTGCAATCACCTGCAAAATCGGAATGAATAAAGTGTTTTCTGCTGTTTGGTAACGTAAATAATGTTTGGTTACCTTCAATAGGATTCAGGTATAAGAGCTCGGATCAAAAATTATAATAAAATTCTAGGTTTCTAGATTGTTAACAGTTTTATCACTAAATAAATAAATATATAAAATTATGTACATAATTTGAAGGAAATGAAAAACATTTAAATACTTACCAGTTCCTTCACATGGCATAAATTCCTTCATTTCTTTCAATAAATCAGTTATTTTTTCGACATCTCTGCACCAAAATATAAAAACGAATATTTTACTTCCAAAATTATTAATTAAAATTATAAAGTTGATCATTTTAATGAGGAAAATAAAGGCATGTAGACAAATGGGAGCTAAATCAGCTTAAAACAGTCAAAATAAGAAAAATTCTAAATTTGAATCGTAATAATAATGTAACGTATAGAAAAATTCGTATAGAAAAATTCGTATAAAAAAATTCATATTAAAATTCTTAAGATTTATGTATATTCGTTTCTTTTAAAAAAAATATAGTGGTTATACTAAAAATAAGCTATAAACTTTGTAATAATAAAATTATTTACTGCACAGTGTACGGGAAAATGAACGGGCAACCCAGAATAACTATTGATCTAATGATCGGATCTTCACGTTCTAGGACTCAATCTTGATGGTCCGAAAGAGCAAACTCAAAATGCAAATTAATTAGTACAGACGATATTTTAAGTTACGAAATAAGGTACAAAGCGTACTTATTTTGAATAAAAATTGTGTTCGTTCAATGAATTCAGATTGCTAACATCCAAAATATAGCTGGTAGCCGCAATTTATTAAATATGCTCTTCATAGTCTGGTCAGAAAAGCGATCCACGCCTTGTAATTCAAAGTGTTACTTTTTGCGTACGTTTGTCATATCTTAGGAGTTTTTTAAGTGAATCGAAAAATTTTATTCAAATATAATTTTATTCAAAAAATAATTGATCATATATTATATCTTATTCGAAAAATAATTTTAAATATTTTGCTATGTTATTTAATTATAGTCGATAAATTTTTAATTTTAAGGTATGCAAACATTTACATCATTTCAAAGAATGTAACTTCACATGGCAAAATGCAAAACGTGAGAATGGAATAGTTCCTGAGAAATTTTAAATATACGACTTTTCAGAAATTCATAATTTAAAATGCCATTTTCATTAATCAATTAGTATCTTTGAGATCGTCTCCTCAAACCATAAAGATTGAGTCCTAGAAAGTGAAGATCCGATCATTAGATCAAAAGGTATTCAAAGTGGTCGTTGTTTTATTTTATTTATTTATTTATTTGGTGCACAGTACATAGGCATAATAATTAAAAAATTAGTTCTAACTTTGAAAATAAAATTACAATTAGTTTTAAATATTATTTTTTTAGTAATTTTGTTTTGAAATTTTTTTAATTGAATCTTTAAATGTTTTATAAGTATTCTTCTAAAGTGCAATGAATCGCATTTTAATGAATTAGATTGGCATAATGGTTACTTGATTTTCATGCGTAACATGTGTGTTCTTATAGCCGGATTTGAAGGCTTTGATCAAGATTAATCTGTATCGAGTTAGAACACACAATAAACGAAACACCCAGAATAACTTTTGATCAAATGATCGGACTTTCGCATGCTCGGACTCAATCTTAAGTTCTCGAGTAGGTGATCTCAAATATGCTTTTTAGCAAATGTAGACGATACTTGAAGTTACTAAATGAGACACAAAATCCTTCTTTCTCTGAATAATCATGCCTTTATTTCGATATGTTATGATTTTTAGCCTCAAAAATATGAAGGGTAGCCACAAACTGGGAAATATGGATCTAGCAGTTTGGTCAGGAGACAGTCGAAAGTTTGAACACCTTAGTGACAAATTTACTTTTTGTGTATTTCACCATATCTTTAGAATTTTCTAAGCGAATCACAAATTTCCGAACGGAATTATAAAATTCTCTTTTACAAAGAGAATTCCCTTCAAAACATATTTTTTATAAATTATTTATTATTTTTTAATATTTCATTTGTTAATGATCAAAAATATTTTGAATTGTAAGGTATTCAAATGTTTACATTATTTTAATGAATGAAATTTTATATCGCAAAATGCAAAGTTTAATTTAACTTGATCGAATAATTTTGTAAGAATCGATTTAAAAAAAAGTATATATTTATATTGCAAATTATATTTTTCGTTACCATTTGGCCGATTTCATTCAAATTTAGTATTTTTACATATGAAATAAGCTTCTTTAAATTGGATTTAGAATTTGTATACTATATAATTTAAGATGGTTTTGATTGTTTTCAAGAAAAATAATAAAAGATAATAAATGATAACAAATCAATTTTATTCAAATTTATTTTTTTAATATATAAAATAAGCTTCTTTAAATTGCTTTTAGAATTTGTATACTATATAATTCAAGATGGTTCTGACTGTTTTTAAATGAAACAATAAAAGATAATAAATAATAACAAATCGATTTTATTCAAATTCAGTATTTTAACCTATAAAATAAGTTTCTTTAAATTGCCTTTAGAATTTGTATACTATATAATACAGGATGTTTTTGATTGTTTTTAAATAAAATAATAAAATATGATAAATAATAACAAGTCAATTTCATTCAAATTTAGTATTTTAACACATAAAATAAGCTTCTTTAAATTGCTTTTAGAATTTGTATTCTATAAAACTTAAGATGGTTTTGATTGCTTTCAAATTAAGTGATAAAAGATATAAATAATAACAAATAAATTAAAAAAAGGTGTGTTTATTCGGAGAAGGTATATTTTTGTGTCTGATTTTCTAGTTCAAAATATCGTCTATATTATAATTATTTAGAATATTTGAGGTTATGTCCTCAAACCATTAAGACCTAGTTCTAATACGTGAAAATCGGATCATTTGATCAAAAGTAATTCAGTGTGTGCACTGTACGATTAATGTCCTTATAAATGAAGACAGTAATAAACGTTCATGGAGGTTACCGGGTTACTAAATTATAGGGTTTTACCCATAACTTCATGCAATAAATGATTACTATGGTATGATTTCATGACATTTAGATGATTTTCTTGCATAAGTACAATAATTAATAGCAGTTGTAAAAAATGGAAAATAGAAACTACATTTTTCAAAATGCAAAGAAAAAAAAAACGAAGTACATCAATAACTAAAATCAACAAAATATAATTGGATTATAACGCATTTTAAAGTAGTATTAATGGTTCGATCATCTCTGAAATATGTTAATTATCTCTAGGCGCTATTTTAATTTACGAAATAATGATACACAAATATATTTATATCAAAAACTCTTTACTGATTCAAAGTTTCGGTATGGTGTAATAAATGATATAAGGCAGCGATTCTCAACCTGTGGGGCGCGCAGAAAATCCAGTTTCACAAAGGTAGGATATTGAAAACGGTAATAGAATGCGAAATGCCCTTTGTTTCAGTGCAGAAAAATCCTCCTCCTACCAAAATCCAAATAGTAATTTATTACTAAATTGCATTTCAGTTTCGCCACTTGTCGTGAAGTCTATGAATTTTTCTTCCTCATCAATTGAGAGTCCTTCGGGAGTCTTATGAAATGGATTCCTAACCCACTCGTAACTTGCTAGCAGTTTGTCATGAGCAGGAAAATACTTTTTAAAATTCTTTGCCAGCATGGCTAAATGATTTTCAATGGTTACAAACGTAACTTTCATATATTCTTCTTCAGCCTTATAAGTTTTAGTACAATTATCCACATTTGCAAACATTGTTAGGTTTTTTTGCTTTAAATTTCTGCCCCACAATTCTAATTTTCTACAAAAAGCATTAACTTCATCACTCGTATCCAACATATGTGTATTTGCTCCTTGGAGTTTAAGATTCAAGTTATTTAATTTCTCGAATATGACGACCAAGTATCTCAATTTCATCACAAATAAACAATAGTGTAAATTCCCGGTTTCCGGTCTGTTATCTTCTAAGAAAATGACGATTTCTTCTCTTAATTCATGAGCACGTTGCAAAAATTTCTCACGTGATAAACATCTTGCCTCACATTTAAATAGTAACTCTGAATGTACTGAACCCATGTCATTACAAAGAGCAGAAAAGATTCTCGATCTCAGGGTTCTCATTTTTATATAATTTGAAATGGTTACAACCGCAGTTAATACAATATTTAAACCAGGACGTATTTCTTTCGAACCCAAAGCTTCTCTGTGGATCATGCAATGTGTCCAGACGCATTGAGGCGATTTTTGTTTTACTAGTGCTTGTATACTTTCGAACCTTCCGGATATTGAACTAGCATATTCTGATGCATATTCCAGTGCATATTCCGATGCAATTTTTGAATTCTGTGTTTGCATCATTCATAACATCATTTAAAATAGCAAATAATGCTATCGCTGATGTTTTGAGTTCTATTGATTTGCAGAAAAGTAGTTCTACTACTGACATATTATCACGAAATCAAACATAGGCAATGAAATGAGCATCTTTATTAATATCTCTTGCTTCAAAGTTTATTGAAAACATTTTGTCACGCAACATCGAGAAAAGCTAACACTACATTTTCGGCTGTATCACCAATTCTCATAGCAACAGTATCATTTGAAAGAGGTATGAACTGTAATTGTTTTGAAAAATTAACTCCAAACATAGTTTCTGCAATCTCAATTGCTGTTGATTTTTACTTTACTTTTGTTTTGGTAGTTAGTTAAAAATAATTTAAAGACAGAATTCAAAATACTCAACATACATTATTGTTGCATACATTTTACTGCAAGTGGGGGGAGCGATGAAAATTATATTTGAAAACTGGGCTGAAGAAAAAGGTTACTACTGAACTACTGAAAGGTTGAGAAACGCTGATATAAGGAATGTAACAGCTATCTAAAATATATGACAGAAAATATATCTACCACAAAATTTATTCCAGAGAACTTTCCTTCCAATAATGTTAGTTTTACCATTATTTGCATATTTTACTGCATCTAATTTAAGGGAATCAAAATATTTCTGCTGACAAGTGTGACAGTTGTTTATTTAAGGAACATTTTATCCAAACTGTAATTTATAGCAGATATTTAATTCATTAATAAATAAAACTGAGTTATAAAGTATACAGAATTTTACGCTTTTTAAATTCGTGCAAGTTATAGCATTAGAAATCAAAATCTTATCAAAATCAGCTGTCCATTTTCTGAATCACGGAAGTTTTACACGTTGTGTTTTAAA